CCCCAAAACCCCAAAACCCCAAAACCCCAAAACCCCAAAACCCCTCAACTTGAGTAACTATTGAAATTAATATTTATAATTGAATAGGCTATATTAATGATGAATGATTTATGAATTATTCTCGAATACTACACTGCTAGAGTATTGCTTCCTCCTCTCTTAATCTCATTAAGGGTCTCTTGAATTGTTTCCATTCCATGTTTGATGTTAGTCACTTCATCATAAAGTCCTTCAACTGACTTTCCTAGGATCTCAATATCTGTGTCTCCTTCGTAAAAGCTTCGGACTGTCCTTGCAGTTTTCTGGAATGAGAGGATGTTCTTTCTGAAGTCTCGAATAGAGCCTACATAAGCTCTAGAATTTTTAGTATTCTTCTTTAGATGAGACCTTCCTTTATAAGCTGCTGCCAAAACTTTTGTGGCTTGTCTCTTGAGCTCTTCTTTGTAGGATAGCCTTTGAAGTAGTGAGTACGTCTTCTCTTCGGTAGGATCAAATGCAAGCATGTTAGTGACAGTAACGACGAATATTGAGACAACTACGACTCCCCATATACAGATTAATACTCCCACTATTCTTCCACAAGTGGTCTTCGGAAAGAAATCTCCGTAACCTACCGTCGACATTGTGACAATAACATTCCAAAAGGAGTTAGAGTAAGAGAAGTCTTGTTCAGAAACATTCTTAAGCGGCTGTTCGAATACTCTGAGGAGAAAGCCTCCAATAAGAATACTTGCAAGCATTGAAATTGTTTGTGCAGTCAGGGGTATATCTTTCATCATTCATTTTGTAGCAAAGAAATAGCTCACTTCTCATCCATTTAATACTCCTAGTCTATGAGCTCTTGAAGTGAGATAGTTCGACGCAGCTAATCATAATCTTACTGGGAGATAGAACCTAATAAAGGCTATTGCCAAGAACATATGATTTATTTCATAATAAATATCGACACTAAAGTCTTCGTTCCATTCTCTATATTTGTGACCTTTCAAGAAAGGATAAGGTGAAAACATAGCAATTCCCACTTCAATGATTATTAACTTATACCATCCAGTATTTATGAGGTTATCATATTTGGTCAATTGATTAGTTGAACGATTCCACCTCATTCAGAGGTCATATCGACTTATTATTGTTGCTATCAATATTATAGTGCTGATCATTCATGTCCAAAGAAGAGATATTCTGATATCATCGATTACATCACTTGGTTCAAAAGAAGTTGCAAGCTCATATTCAATTATTCCTGCTCCAAGAGTGGTCATTGCAAAATAGTTCGAAATCCATTCACTAATTTTAATTTGGTTCAGAAGCATATTTCCAACTCGGACATCTTCAATAACGTTATCGTTTAAATAATCTTCTCCCCCAGTCTTAGTAGAAAGAGAAGCTTCACTTTTCATTGAAATATTAGGGTCTTGTCCTCCGGTACCTCCATTCATGGGCAAGTTTTTCTTAGGAGAAATAGTGCTCAGTTGTTTTTCAACCCCTACTTTAGAAATGTTTTCTTGCTGCTTCTTTACAAAATTTTCGTAATTAACTCCATTATTTCTAGCATTTGCATTTGCTTTCTTAGGTAAAGTTTTCATCACCATAGTCCATCTCTTTTAGTTCCTCCACCTTTAAGTCGTCTTGAGCGAATGGAATTACTTTAGCATTTGAACTCATTTTTATAAGTTTTATAATTTTATAGGAAATTAACAAGAAAGGGGTTTTGGGGTTTTGGGGTTTTGGGGTTTTGGGG